AACCACCCCTGTCAAAACAAAATCAATTACTCCGAAGGTAGGACCCAACATGAGAATATATTTCGCCCTCGCTTCCTCTCGTCGCCTTGGCGGAGGCGTCCTCCCGCCCTCTGACGCAATTGAAGACATGAGCTGCAGGCCCCAAACGGAGGGGGCTCCCGCCTGAGACTTCCTCACAATTCACTCACAGACGAGGCTCCCGCTCGAGACTTCCTCCAAGTTCAGGCTCGAGGAGCCCAAAAGTGCCGACAGTTACAGGTTTGAGGATGACCCGCCTCGGATTCGAACATTAGCCGCGGGCCCCATACGGAGGGGGCTCCCGCCTGAGATCGCAATTCACTCACTGACGAGGATCCCGCTCGAGACTTCCTCTAATGTCAGGCCTCAAGAGCCCAAAAATCCGCCGGCCCCCTTGTGGGGCCACCAGGCTGTAGGAGCGAGGTTCGCAGTTTCCTGTACCAGTTGTAGCTTGTAGTTTCCAGTGTTACAGTTCTGCTTCTTGCTGGTTACTGTAACTAGTTGACTTATTGCTGGTTACTGTAACTAGTTGATTGACCGCGCGAGGGGGGGGGAGGCCCAAACCAGCTTTTTAGCACCCCCTGGGCGCGTTGTCTGAATCGCTGGGGGGGCTCGAAATCGACACCCCTCACGCAGATCCGCGGGGTCAGGGTCCAAAAACACAGGGGATTTGCCACATTTCTGAAATTCGGTGCCACCCCTCACGCAGATCCGCGGGGTCAGGGTCCAAAAACACAGGGGATTTGCCACATTTCTGAAATTCGGTGCCACCCCTCACGCAGATCCGCGGGGTCAGGGTCCAAAAACACAGGGGATTTGCCACATTTCTGAAATTCGGTGCCACCCCTCACGCAGATCCGCGGGGTCAGGGTCCAAAAACACATGGGATTTGCCACATTTCTGAAATTCGGTGCCACCCCTCACGCAGATCCGCGGGGTCAGGGTCCAAAAACACATGGGATTTGCCACATTTCTGAAATTCGGTGCCACCCCTCACGCAGATCCGCGGGGTCAGGGTCCAAAAACACAGGGATTTGCCACATTTCTGAAATTCGGTGCCACCCCTCACGCAGATCCGCGGGGTCAGGGTCCAAAAACACAGGGATTTGCCACATTTCTGAAATTCGGTGCCACCCCTCACGCAGATCCGCGGGGTCAGGGTCCAAAAACACAGGGGATTTGCCACATTTCTGAAATTCGGTGCCACCCCTTACGCAGATCCGCGGGGTCAGGGTCCAAAAACACAGGGGTCAGGGTCCAAAAACACGGATTTGCCACATTTCTGAAATTCGGTGCCACCCTTCACGCACATCCATCGCAAGGCGTGGTAACCCAAACTGCGAGAACTCCCTCGGCCCTTTAATCGCAAGGTGTGGTAACCAAGCCCGTAAACCATACACGTCTTACCAATCGCCAGGTGTGGTAACCCCTCTTGTGATCAGTTGGTTTTGCTGATTGCGAATCGGCTTCGCATGAAGTTTCGATACTGCTTCACGACAGCGCCAAGGCCTCATGACTTAGCTCTTCCATGGCCCATTCTCCGAGAGAGGGGGCCGGCGGCAGGGGGCGAAGCCCTTACGGATAACGACAGTTACAGATTGGAGCATGACCCCCTCGGATTCGAACATGAGCTGCAGGCCCCAAACGGAGGGGGCTCCCACCTGAGACTTCCTCGCAATTCACTCACAGAGGAGGCTCCCGCTCGAGACTTCCTCCATAGTCAAGCCTAATGACCCCAAACTTTAAGACAGTTACATGTTTGAGGATGACCCGCCTCGGACTCGAACATGAGCTGCGGGCCCCATAGGGAGGGGGCTCCCGCCTGAGACTTCCTCGAAATTCACTCACAGACGAGGCTCCCGCACGAAACTTCCTCCATATTCAGGCCTGGGGAGTCCAAACGTGACAACAGTTACAGATTTGAGGATCACACGCCTCGGATTCGAACATGAGCTGCGGGCCCCATAGGGAGGGAGCTCCCGCCTGAAACTTCCCTCAAGGTGTCAGTGCGAGTGTAGTGATGATGCTGACCGATGTTCATGATGGGATAATGTCAGTGATGATGACGGTTGGTGGTGATAATGATGAATGTGACGATGATGATGACCGATGGTCCTCATTGGATGGTGATAGATGATTGATGATGATGGTGCGCTGATGACTGATGCTGGTGATGATAGTGAGTGGTGCGCGTGAGTGGTAGAGTGATGGTGATGATAGTAGATGGGAGATTGATGAGCATATGGTAGGAGAGGAGGAGGGGATGAGGAGGTTCCTGCGCGGAGGATGTCCAAAGAAAACAAAAACCCCACGTAGAATGTGGGAAACATACCGTGAATCAAAATCTGGATCTTGCGCGGGCATTCCGCGATCACTTTGCATCGGCTTGTCACGAATACGCGGCAGGGTTCACCGGCATATTGCCTGCCGCGCGCGGGCCCACCGTCCCTGTCGGGGCCGCTCTGAGCTTTCTGGACCCGTCCTGGCGGCCTCGAGGCAGCCCAGGACGGCCCGGGGACAGCCCAGGACGGACCCAGGCGGGCATCAAGCCGGCCCCGACGGGTACCCAGAGGGCCCCGAGACGGCTTCAGAACACCCGACGGACGGCCCCAGGCGGCCCAGAGGCAGCCACAAAGGCCCAGAGAGGGCCCAAGAGGGCCCCAAGACGGCCGAGGAGGGGCCCCCAAGGCGGCCAACGGGGACCAGGCGTGGGGGCCTCGCCGTGTCGCGTGCGCGGGGCGCGCGCCCCTTGGGACTGTCGAGGGAGGGGGCCCAGCCTTAGGTCGGGCATGTCCCCGTACAGGCGGATTTTGGCGAAAAGTTCAAACTACTCAAAACATGTTCAAAAATAGTCAACACTAGTCGAAACATCGTCCGCTGGCCATATGTTGGCTATTTGTGGATATCCCTCCTGTAGAGGGACATGCCCGACTTAAGCCTAACCCCCCAGCCCCCTGAGGGGGAAGGATAAGGGGGACTGGCTTGGGTGGGGGGAAATCGACCTGGACTCGGAGATACATCACTGACAGATCGGCGATAGGCCCCGATAGCGAATTCGCACGTCTCTTCTCGGGGCGGGCTGTCTGGCCCCCCTCGGCGATCAGGGGGCGATTCGGGGTCGATGCGCTTCTCCTGGAGCCTATCCCCCCCTTGCCCTGCCCCTGCCCTCCCTGAGTTTCTCCCGACGTACTCAAAGACACCCGTTCTGCTCCACAGCGATGTGTACAACCAAAAAGATATATCACCCTTGCTGAGATCCCTGAGTTTCTCCCGACGTACTCAAAGACACCAGTTCTGAGATCATGGCCTTCAAGCTGCTGCTCCACAGCGATGCGTCCAGCCAAAAAGATAGATCGCCCCTGCTGAGATCATGGACTTCGAGCCTGCTCCACAGTTCAGCCCAAAAACATACTTCTCCCCGGAACTCCATCCCAGGCTGTGCGCACCTGGACCTCCACTCCAGGTAATTAATGCGTCTCCGCGGATCCCCAGAACTCCATCCCAGGTTATGCGCGGGGGGCGCGGGCGAGGGTCTCCCAAAGCCTTCGAGCGAACGATTTGGAACTCCGTCCCGGCAGGCTGCCCCGTATCAAGTTGAGTGGTGATTGACGGAAGGAGTGCTGACATGAACTCGAGACATGACGGCCGGACGGGCGGACGCTGGCGCATGGCTCCATGGCTCCGCCAGGGAGCGGCTGGGGGGGCCCAAGCCCACTCACTGTTTGATGCATCCGTCCTTCGACATCTTCCCAATGGGTGGTTCTACCGCTTGTACCCAACCGTCGTTCCCCATGGCTGTCTACACCTATTGTTTGACATCCGCCGACCCCTTGTGGGTCCCTAGGCGTGTGAGATTGTTACCCCCCCATAATCCCCCCCCCGGGAACCCCGAGCCGGCAACTTGACCCCCCCTGGCCCCGGGTGGCCTCGGACCGAACTCGCCCGGGGCCGGACCGAACTCACCCGGGAGGGTCTGGCCCTCCCCGGGCTCCGGAACGCCAAAACAGCCCCTTATAAGGTCTCCGAAGAGGCCCCCCCCAGACCGTCCCAAGAGGGCCCCGACTCGCCGAAATATCGCTCCAAGCCGCCCAAGATAGCCTCCACACGGCGCAGGATGCCCCAAGAGGCCCCTAACAGCCTCCCCCAGAGGGTCGTCAGAAGCCAAAAGCGTCCCATTCCCTTCGGAAAACTTCATGTGTTGGCAGAGTCGCCTCTGGAGCTTTCACTACATCCTAGACGGGCCATGAAGCCCCCACGAGGGCTCCAGGACGGCCCAAAATAGCCCCAAGACGGCCAAAGACGGCCAACGAAACCCCCAAGCTGGCCGAAGAGGGCCCCAGGACGGCCCCCAGAAAGGGCACATAAGCAGAACCCGACCGGAAATTTCGACCTGTCGGCCCCAAGAAGCCCCCAGGTTGTCGCAAGAAACACCCAAGAAGCCCCAAGGGGCTCCCAGGGAACCCCAAGAGATCCCAAAAGAGGACCTCAAGACCTCCCCAGGAGACCCCTCAGAGGCCCAAAAACTGACTCCAACACGCCCCCAAGAGCCCTCCCATGAGACCCCATTAGCCATCCGAGTGGCCTCAAACCCACAACCCCGTTCGCAGTCCGGGTACCCGCACACTGCCTCCAGATCCAAGCTGAAACCATGCGTTCTGGAGGTGCCGGGATCGTCCCGAACGGCCTCTGGAGGACTAAGCTCACGCCCGCAAACCAGGTCCTCACTTTTCCTCCTCCTCCTCCTCCTCCTCCTCCTCCTCCTCCTCCTCCTCCTCCTCCTCCTCCTCCTCCTCCTCCACCCCCTCCTCCTCCTCCACCTCCACATGCCCCTCATTCTCCTCTTCGCCCCTGCGGCCCCGAGCATCGACACGAGAAGGCCCCAGGACGGCAAGAGGAGGTCCCCGACCAGATCGAGGGGTCGCCGGATGTGGCGTAAGCCTAACTATAGGATCGTCTCCCCCAGCGAGTTCTTGCACGCCCCGTCAGATGCCCAGTGTGCAGCTCTCGTCCGAGCTCTCGGTCCCGTCCGGCTCGGACGCGCCCGCGCGGTCCGCGGCCTGGTCCTCCCCGGACGCGGCCGTCTCGTCCGAGGCCCCTCCCCCGGGGGCATCCTTGGACGAGCCCGCTTCGTCGTGGGAGGCCCGCGGGGAGTCCCCGGGGTCGGCCGAGGGAACCGCCCCGTCGTGCCCCGGGCCGTGGGCGTCCATGCTCTCGACAAAGGGCACGGGCGCGGGCGTCGAGGCGACGCGGAGCCGGGACTCGCTGCGGTCCATGTCGAAGCTGAGGCCCCACAGGCGCGAGACGGGCCGCACGGCCGCGTGGAAGAGGACGTAGAAGGCGAGCAGCCTCTCCGCGGCGGCGACGCGCGTCTCGTAGATGCCCTCCATGTAGCCGAGCTCGGCGATGAGGTCCTTGCCGCCCGCGCCCTGCTTCACGCGGGCCCTGGACCCGCTCTGCTCGCCAATCACGACGCCCCCGGTGCCCGCGAGGTCTGCCATCGAAGTCTTCCTGGTGAAGCTGCCCCAGGCCGGGCTGCGACTCCCGGCCTTGGTCGGGCTGTAGGTCTTGCTCGGGCTGTATATTTTCGCCGGGCTGTACGTCTTCCCCGGGCTGTGCTTCATCGAACCGGCCCGGCCGAACATGCGCGAGCCGAGGCTCTGGGCGCTGCGCATCGTACTGACCGAGGCCAGGCTCTTCATGCTGCCCGCCATGGAGGTTTGGGTGTCGATCATGGCCGTCTGGGCCCTAATGGTCTCCACGTTCTCCCTCCACAAGTCGAAGCACCGGTGGACCGAGTAAGGCATCGAGAACGGCAACGCGTTGTAGTGCATCATCCACTGGCGCTTCCGCTGCCGGAACTCCTCCTGCGTCCGCCACGCCGCCTGCTGCGGCAGCGCGAGGGGCTGCGTCTCATTCGCCTTAAGTCGGGCCTGTCCCTCTGCAGGGAGATGACTCAAAAGTAGTCCAAAAGGTAGTCCGGGGCTATTTTTTGCGTACTTCTTTGGCCACCTAGGAGCTTTGTGTGTAGGATGTTTTATTCTTCGTCGAACATCCCCCTGCAGGGGGGCACGCCCGACTTGACATTCGCCTCGGCCATGCAGGAGGCCAGCTGCTCCGCGCGCAGGGCGGCGCGCTCCTGGCCCAGCTTCGCCACGAGGTCGGCCCACTCCTCGTAGCACGCCTTCATCAGGCCCCAGGCCTTTCCTGAGGGGCAGTGATGGGGGGGGATAGGCACAGGGGGGGAAGCATCGACCTGGGATCGGCGATGCATCGCCGATAGATCGGCGGTAGGCCCCCGTATAGTGAGTCCGCACCTTCCTGGGCGGGGTGGGGCTATCGGGCCACCATCGGCGATCAGTGGGTGATGGGGGGTCGATGCATTCCCCCCTATGCCTATCCCCCCCTATCGTTGCCCCTGATTTCCTGCGACATCGCCCATGTTGTGCCTGGCCAGCGCGAGTCTCTTCTGCTGGCCCAGCTGCATCTGCGCGATGATCTTCTCCATGTTGCGACCGCGGAGCACCGCCATGATGTTCGAGGCGGTGAACTTGAAGACGCCAGGCTTCTTCTTCTTATGACTGGGTCCTCTGGTACTGAGCGTCTCCGCCCGGTCGGGACCCTGGCTTAGCGTAGCCGTCGTGCTCCCATCGCTAAGCATGCCCGAAGACCTCGAATCCTCGCGCTGCGGCTGCTCCGCAGGGGGAGGCTGAGGCAAGGTGGTGCCCTTCTGGGCGAAGAGCTTGACGGGGCCCAGCTCCCGGGCGAAGTATTTGACGGGGCTCACCTTCATCGCCTTGCAGCACGTCTGTATCGCTGCTGCAAATGCCGTTTGCGGAGCGTGTCCGCGGAAGCTGCTGGAGCTGCTGACCTTGCGGACCTGCGAGCCTGTCAGATGCACTGCAACGTCGTCGTCGAGAACCTGCGTGATGTCGAATTCCTCAGGATCGATATCCAGCGCTGTCGAGTGCTCTTTGACGAATTCGCTAATGACTACTTGAGCATCATCGAAATCTATCGTTTGGGACTTCATCTTTCGCTGGATGTCTTCAATCCGCACATCCTGGAACGGAGCCTCGTTGCCTCGCGTGCTGGCACCGCTCAAGTCCCCCTTGACGAGCATGGCAACCCCATGCATCACGTCTGCAGGAACGTGTCCACCAAACTCACTGCGTAACAACTTCTGCGAATAGAATGCTGGCCTGTGCTCAGAAGACAACGTGACAGACTTCTGGAAGAGGCCGGGCTTCATCCACGGGTTGTGCCCGACGGACACGATCTCAACACCTGTGTTCGGGTTCGCAGCTATGAAACGCGCCTGCTGCAAGGACATGATGCTAGCGGCCTCCATCGAGGCAAGCGTCCCGAGGCGACCGTCGGCGCGGCCAGCGAAAATGATCACATCGGACGTGGTCATGTGGGTCATCTCGTGAACGAAATGATCCTCGCCGTTCTGGCCCAAAACGCCAAACGTGGTAAAGCGGAATGCGAGCGCACGCAACTTGGAAACATAGGCGCGGAGCAGCTTGTAGTTGACCGTGCAATCGACTATGACCAACGTCTTCCCAGAGTAACGCACGAAGAGGCGGCGGCCAGTGCAGAGTCGGTGTGCCGTGGCCAGGCAAGCGCCCATGAAAACATAGAGATGGGCATCGAGATGCGCCGCGATGTAGCTGATGGCCACCCACCACCACTCGTCTGGATCATCGTCGAATGTAGCAATGTCGCCTATGTAGCCCCACGCGGCGCTTAACAAAGGGTATCCCATTGTCACCGTGATGTAAACGTACACTGCAGAAAGCAACAAGGAATCCACCACCGTGCTCTGGCACGTTGCGGCGTAACAGAATACCTGCTATCTGTCCGGGAAACTTTGTGCGATTCTCTTGAGGCGGTCTCCCGACCCTTCGATCACCCGCGCTTAATAGCGCACCCGCGGTTTGCTCTCTGGCGTTCCCCGCGACCCCAAGACGGCTCCAAAACGGCCAGTGGACGTCTCAATAATAAAACAAAATGGCCCAAGGAAGCCCCAGTCACAGCGGCCCCCAGGATGATTCAAAAAGCCTCATAAGACCCCATAAGTGCTCCAACGGGCCCCAAAGTGGTTCTAGGAAGGGTTCTGGGGGGCACACACACACACACCGCTACCTGCAGCGAATGTTGCAGTGTACCATCCCATCCCCATCAGCATTCCTGACATGCACGTCCATGCGAAGCTAGATGCTGGCACATACCTCCTCTGTATGAGCATATTCAAAAGATTCGGAATTATCGTATGCTCCTGTTTTGTCTTCGCGTTCAATTATACAGGACGCAGGTTGAAACAGACAAACAGGCAGACTTACAGACAGACAGACAGACAGACAGACAGACAGACAGACAGACAGACAGACAGACAGACAGACAAACAGACAGACAAACAGACACACAGATACACACACACACACACACACACACACACGCGCGCACACACACAAAAACACACACACACACACATTCACCCACGCACGCACGCACGCACGCACGCACGCACGCACGCACCCACACACGCACCCACACACGCACCCACACACGCACCCACACACACACACACACACACACACACACACACACACACACAAACACACACAAACACACACACACACACAATTTTTTGCGTCGGCGGCTGGGCAGAGGGTGGCTGCTCTGGCGTATTGGCAACAGGGGGCGCTCTGTATGCAAATTGATGCCCCGGCGCGACGGGGGGAGAGGAAGCCAAGCCCGCTCAACCAAGTCACCGGCTACGGCGGGGGGGAACGCCGTGGGGGGGGACCACCAGCAGCGCTGACCAGCAGCTGGGGGGGATGGCGGCCTGGCAGACCGTGTGGCCAGATGGGGGGAGCAACGCATGCGAAGCAGAAGCCGCACCAATGAGGACCGGTATGGCTGACGGCACAAGAGATGAGTCAGGGCGCCGAGACCATGAGGGCCCACGAGGCGCGGCGGGGGGCGGAGGCAGGACGCAGGCGGCCACGATCCAGGAGCGAAGAAAGGACGTACACGTACATGAATCCACGCTGGTTTCGAGAGTTCGCGCTGCGCGAATGTTTGTCTCACGCGGCAGGTCTCGCGGGTCAGAGAGGGCCGCGTTCGTGTACATAGCGCCGCGAATGGCGAAACTGTAGCACAGCGTGAGGGCGGCGGACGCGGACCAGGAGGCGGAGCCACGCCAAAGGGGGGAGCGGCGTGGGGCAGGGCGCCCGCAGGCAGCGAGCGCGCGGAGAGCCCACGGGTGGGCAGGAGCGCCGAGGCCCGGGGGGCCCACGGGGCGCAGCGCGAGGCGAGGGAGCGAGGCGGCGGAGGGCACGGCGACGCGCGCGTTAGCGCGCCACGCGCTGGAGGAGGAGGAGGAGGAGGAGGAGGAGGAGGAGGAGGAGGAGGAGGAGGAGGAGGAGGAGGAGGAGGAGGAGGAGGAGGAGGAGGAGGAGGAGGAGGATGGTTAGCGCGTGGGCGGGGAGCGGGACGAGAAGACCGCACCAGTCGGGGCAGCGGCGCGGGCCAGGGCGAGGCCAGCAGGGCGGGGGGCGGGCGCCGAGGCCGGAGGGGGCCTGCGGGGCGCAAAGCCGCGAGGGCAGGGCGGGGCGCCGCAGGAGCGGCGGCGGCGCCCAGCACACCAGGAACCAGCGGACGGATGCGAAGCCGGAGAACCAGGCACAGGGCGACGAGCCTGGGGGGGGCACCTAGGTCGGGGCCCGGCAAAGAAGCGGAGGGTGCCACCGGCGGGGCCGGGGCAAAACCTGCAGCGGGCCAGCGAGCCCCCGGCCGCAGCGGGAGGAAGCAGCGGCGGGGCAGGGCACCACCCTCGGGGCTGGAGCGGAGGGGAAGCCCAGGGGCCAAAGGCAGGCGGCAAGTCCAGCCAAGCGCGGGCCAGCCACCCCCCGGGAGGGGCGGCGCCCGAGCGGAAGCAAGGAGGCCACAAAGGAGCCACCCCACACGGCAGCAAGAG